AGAATGGTTCTATTGCCAATGAATCAGAGTTCAAGCTGGGAACCCACACCGGCACCCATGTTGATGCTCCCAGCCACTTTTTCCAGAAGTACTATGATCAAGGATTTGATGTCACTACCCTTAGCCTAAAAGTGCTTAACGGTAATATTATCAATAATATATTTCATCTCATCATAAACTAGTATGCTTTTTTGAAGCATTTATCTTTAATTGCTCTTTTTATTCGCTTTTTTCTCAATTCTTTTATTGCTATTATATTTTGTTGATCAATGTGATTTGGGAATAGGTCCTGCTTTGGTAGTTGAAGTTCCAAAGGACAAGAACATTACTGGTATGTGTTCTATTGGAAATACTAATGTGCTTTTTTATTTTGGAAAATTATGCTAAATTTTGGAACAATTTAGAATCTCTTCCAATCTCCCATGAGGTAGAGAATGAGAATTACAATCTTGTTTACAAATTGTGTTACCATTGCTATTAGTTTAAGTTTAATTGTCTGGATCAGATACCTTGCCTGTTACTGAATGTTTTGAACATATACATACAATCTAGTAATATTCTGCCTTGTTCCACTCCAATGATTGTAATGACTAATGATATCTACCAAATTCCAATAGCTGAAGTTATGAAATCTCTGAATATCCCTAAAGGAGTACGTCGCGTGCTTTTCAAAACACTTAATACTGACAGGTAGGATTTTATATCAATGTTTCTATTTGTGGCTTTTCAACTTGTACATGATTACTTCGAAATTGAACCATTTGTCTCAAGAGGTTGAGCTGATTCAGTAAATTACATGCTAACTTGTTCTTAGTTCTTGTTTAGGCAGTTGATGCACAAAACGCAGTTTCATTCAGATTTTACTGCGTTCATGGAGGATGGGGCAAAGTGGTTGGTAGAAAACACAAACATCAAACTTGTTGGTATGATGGACATTTTGACTATATATCTAAAGGGCTTATATAGGGGAAACCGTTTTTAACTTCATATATTAGAACAATTCCATTTATACTTATCAGCTAAGTCTCTTGTTTTTAATGAAATTAAGTTCAACAAATTTGATGAAATTGTACCTAGCACTCTGAAAACAATCAAAAACTTTATGCAATCCCTTTTCTCTGTTCTATTCTTTTGAAATGCTAATGTCTGTGTCAATACTTGTCTGATTATAGGGCTTGATTACCTATCTGTTGCTGCATATGTTGATGCCGCCCCAGTACATTATGCATTTCTGCGAAATAGGGTAAGAAAACAAAAATGTGTCTCACTTTTTATGTCATACATATCTATTTGGGGCATTCTTTATGCTGGTTTGAGAGAAATATGTCAAGATAAATGCAATGCTAACACTCCTAAAATGGTTTAGGAAATCATTCCACTTGAAGGCCTAAATCTGGATGACATCCAACCAGGAAGATATAGTCTCCATTGCCTCCCTCTAAAGATGGTTGGTGCTGATGGATGTCCAACAAGATGCATTCTCATTTAAGATAGAAACTTTGGTTGAGAAGTAACTCTAAAACAAGGCTATAAAATTGTTCCAGGAGATGAATAATAGCTCCAGAAGGTATAGAATGGATCAAACTGCGTCCGGACATCTGTGTGCTTATATTTGAATCCATCGAACCTTTGTAAGAAGCTAGTATCTTACTAAGGTTGATGTCCGGCAGCCATGGGTGGTGGAGATTCACAGTTATATTTATGAGTTATGTTGAGCTTCAATTTTGTGGGCGTTTGTTGTGAGCTAACGAACAGATTTCTTGGCTACATAAAACAAAACAGGTCATTGGCTACGTACCGTGCTTTATATTCTTTTCTACTAATCTTCCGCTATTTAAAAAAAGTTAAATACTAATTTTGATCATTAAGTTTAAGGTTTTACATAATTTTTATTTTTAATTTTTTTTATTTTTTTAATACCTTAACTATGAAAAATACATTTTTTAGTTTTTTTTGTCAATTAATTATTAATCTGTTAAATTTATCTAAATTTACACATTTTTTATTCCCTAACTTCTAATATATACACATTTTTTGTCCCTCAACTTAAAGTTGAGAGGCTAAAAATGTACAGATTTAGATAAATTTAATAGATTAATTGACGAAAGATTAAAAAAATGTATTTTTCATAATTAAGAGATTAAAAAATGCAAAAAAAAGAAATTGAAAAATGATGCAAAACTTTAAAGTTAAGGGACCAAAATTAACATTTAACCTTTAAAAATCACAATAATTTTAATTAATTTAAAATTGAATTACATTAATTTTATAAAGAGAAAGCTTTTCCCACATTTATTTTTTGATTATAAAACTTCAACCAATAGATCATTGATCTCATACTTTATATATAAAAATTATGTCATTAATAAAATATTTACATAAAATTTAATTAAAATTAGCATAAATTTTCATGTTTTCAATAATACTTCTCGTATGTGAGAAACACTCACAAATGAGGGCTAATGAAAAAGGCAAAAATCAACATTTAGCTCCTCACCTCACAAAATTAGTAAGTTTTAGTTTTTCATCTTATAATATGACAGTTTTAACATTTTATCTTACAAAATTAGTAAGTTTTAGCTTCTCATCTTACAAAATTGGTAGGTTTTAATCCTTACTTTATATTATGATATTTTTAGCCCCTCATCGATACGAATTAAAGAAAATAACCTTCACCTAACATCAGGTTATAATGTTCTGTTATTTCTATTAGTTGATTGCTAATATCCGTTAGTATTTCGTTATAAAAAACATGAAATCTAAATTCAATTTTATTTGTTAGTTTCATTAACGGAATGCTAACGGAATGCTAACGGATGCTAACAGTCAACTAACAGAACTAACAGTCAACTAACAGAACTAATAAAATATTATAACCTGATGTTAAATAAGGATTATTTTCTTCAATTCGTATAGATAAGGGGTTAAAAGTGTCATAATATAATGTGAGGAGCTAAAACCTACCAATTTTGTAAGGTGAGGGGTTAAAACCTATCAATTTTGTAAGGTAAAGGGCTAAAAATATTATATTATAAGATTATGAGTTAAAACCTATCAATTTTGTAAAGTGAAGAACTAAAAATTGATTTTAGCCAGTGAAAAATACACACAAAAAAAAAAACACAAG